AAGGTAGAGTACCAGAGAAAGGAAATGCAGAGAAAGAGCACTCCACAGATTTGCAGATAATCTGGAAAGACAATGGTCAGGTCTTGAGCTGAGAAATGATCTTCATTTGTTTAGGGCAAAACTGCACAAAGCTGGAGAAGGCAGACAAAGCAGCAAGAAGAACTCATGCTCCCATTAGCCAGAGTCAAGGAATCTTGGAATGCAGGGACATTGGGTGTTCTCAGAAAGCTGTGTCTTGGTAGTTGAGATTAATCTGTCCTAAGTGTTTGATTAATTAGTCAAACGGTGTTTTGGGTCTGCCCTAACATAGCTTAAAAGCAAGGTTCAAAAGGATCAAACTGATTTCACATAAATTAGCTATGTGAAATTAACTATGTGTCAGACCAAAGTTCATACTCTTTAACAAAACCAAAAACCAAGACTCAACAATATAAAAGTAATAATGTTTGGAATGCAATAAAAAATTACCCCATATGAAGAAAAAGAAAAAAAAATGACTCACAATTAGGAGAAAAATAAAACAAAAATATATTCAGAAATGGCAAATGAAGGAATTAGTAAACAAGGAACTTACACCAGCTATTAACAATATACTGTTCATATATATATATGTACTTATCAATAAATGGTACACATGGATTGGAAGACATAAAACTGTTCTACTTGCCAATTGCATGGTAATTTACATGAAAAATTCTAAGGAATTTAAAAAACACTACTACAACTAATAAGTAACTTTAGTAAGGCTGCAGGATACAAAGTCAATATATTAAAAATCAACTGTATTCTGTACAGTAGCAATAAATATTAGGAAATTAAAAGTTTTAAAGTTCTAGTTATAATAGCATCAAAATGTTAAATACTTCGGAGTCACTGGAACTAAAGGAACAAAAAGTACAGGACCTGTACACTGAAAAACCACAAAACAATGTTAAGTGATGTGAAGAAAGACGTAAATAAATGGAGAAACATATTAAGTTTGTCTATTGGAAGAGTAAATGTTGTAAGCATGTTAATGCTCCACAAAATGATAACAGACTCAACATAATTTCAATCAAATGCACCCAGCTGTTTCTAAAAGAAGTAAGAAAAAGCAAATAAACCAGAATAGTCAAAACAAGTTTTGAAAAGAACAAAATTGGATTTATTTACACCATGTGATTTCAGGTTTATTATAAAGCCATAGATTGAGGAAGACATGGTGGTATTACTGGCTTAAGTGCAAACACAAAGATCAGGGGGACCCGGATATGAAGCCACACAACTGTAACCAACTTATCTTTGACAAAGGCGCTAAAAATATACGATGGAGAAAAAGCAGCCTCTTCAACAAAAACTGCTGGGAAAACTGGTTAGCAGTCTGCAAAACACTGAAACTAGATCCATGCTTATCACCCTATACCAATATTAACTCAAAATGGATCAAGGACCTTAATATCAGACCCCAAACTCTAAAGTTGGTACAGGAAAAAGAAGGAAATACTTTGGAACTAATAGGTATAGGCAAGGACTTTCTCAATGGAGCCCCAGCAGCACAGCAACTAAGAGACAGCATAGATAAATGGGACTTCATAAAACTAAAAAGCTTCTGCTCAACAAAAGAAATGGTCTCTAAACTGAAGAGACCATCCACAGAGTAGGAGAAAATATTTGCCAGCTGCACATCAGACAAAGGACTGATAACCAGAATATACAGGGAACTCAAAAAAACTAAACTCTCCCCAAATTAATTAACCAATAAAGAAATGGGCAAGTGAACTAAACAGAACTTTATCAAAAGAAGAAATTCAAATGGACAAAAAACACATGAAAAATTGCTCACCATCTCTAGCCATGAAGGAAATACAAATTAAAACCACACTAAGATTCCACCTCACCCCTGTTAGAATAGCCATCATTAGCAACACCACTAACAACAGGTGTTGGCGAGGATTCGGGGAAACAGGAACCCTTTTACACTGCTGGTGGGAATGCAAACTAGTACAACCACTCTGGAAAAAAACTTGGAGGCTTCTTAAAAATCTAAACATAGATCTACCATATGATCCAGCAATACCACTCTTGGGGATATACCTAAAAGAATGTGACACAGGTTACTCCAGAGGCACTTGCACACCCATGTTTACTGCAGCACTATTCACAATAGCCAAGTTATGGAAACAGCCAAGATGCCCCACTACTGACGAATGGATCAAGAAAATGTTGTATTTATACACAATTGAATTTTACTCACCCATGAAGAAGAATGAAATCTTATCATTTGCAGGTAAATGGATGGAATTGGAGAACATCATTCTGAGTGAGGTTAGCCTGGCCCAAAAGACCAAAAATCATATGTTCTCCCTCATATGCAGACATTAGATCAAGACTAAACACAACTAGGGGATTGGACTTTTGATCACATGATAAAGTGAGAGCATACAAGGGAGGTATGAGGATAGGTAAGACACCCAAAAAACTAGATAGCATTTGTTGCCCTCAACACAGAGAAACTAATGCAGATATTTTAAAGCGACAGAGGCCAATAGGAGAAGGGGATCAGGAACTAGACAAAAGGTTAGTTCGAGAATTAATTTAGAAGGTAACACACATGCACAGGAAAGCAATGCAAGTCAACTCCCTGTATAGCTATCCTTATCTCAACTAGCAAAAACCCTTGGTCCTTCCTATTATTGCTTATACTCTCTCTTCAACAAAATTAGAGATAAGGGCAAAATAATTTCTGCCTGGTAGCGAGGGGGTGGAGGGGAGAGGGAAGGAAGGGGGAAGGGGGGAAGGGAGGAGAAATGACCCAAACATTTTATGCACATATGAATAAAAGAAAAAAAAATAATGGATTAGGAAATATTTTTTAGGTAGGACACAAAAAGTGTGAACCACTGAAAGAAAAAAATGGTAAGTTAATCTTCATTAAAATTAAAACCTTTTGGTGTTTGAAAGATAGTTAAAAATGAAGAGGCAATCTACACAATACCAGAAATATTTGCAGGACATACTTAATTTAAAAACTATTGAAATATACAAAATATACAAAGAATTCTTATTACTTAGTAAGACAAACCAGCTGATGAAAATATGGTAATAGATTTGTACAGATAGTACACCAAAGATGCATGAAAGGCAAACTACCCATGAAAAGATGCTCTTCATGATCATCCACCAGGGAAATGAAAATTAAGACCTCAATGAGTGTGAACTTACAAACTGGAATGTCTAAAATTAAGGAGACTAACAAGAGCAACTGTTGGCAAGGACATAAAGCAACTAGAACTCTCATGTATTGTTTCTGGGAATGCAAAATGATGCACTTTGAAAATTGTTGATTTCTTTCTTTTTTTTTGGTGGTACTGAGTATCGAACTCAGGGCCTCATGCTTGGTAGGCAAACATCAGTAATTTTTTTAGTAGTTAAATACATTTATATGATCAGTAATCTCAACTCTGGTAATTTACCCAAGAGAAATGAAAGCATGTATCTATACAATGAGCTTCATACAAAAGTTCATAGTAACTTTATTAATAATAGGAAAAAAAAAAACCCAGAAACAATCCAATTATTCACCAACTGGTGAGTATCACAGCATGGGTATACAATAGAATACTCCTCAGCAACAAGAAAAAATAGAATACTTACACATACTATGACATGGGTTTATAGCAAAAGCACAGCAGTCATACTTATTGTATGAGAAATTTCTATGACATGAGACATGAGAGAGCTTGTGGAGTGATGAGAGCATTCTCTCTTAATTATGGTTGCAGTTATAAACTGAGTTAATCCATAAACACTTTTGCTGAACTGTACTCTTAAAAATGAGTGAACTGGGTTGGGCATGTAGCTCAGTGACAGAACACTTGCCTCACATGTGCAAGAATATGTTTAATCCCTAGCACTGCCAAAAAAAATTACTCCATGAAAAAGTGTTTACTTGGGAAAAGAACAGAGAAAGCAATTTTAAATGCCATGATTTTACACTACTGAGTAGTGACCATTCTCACCCATAAATTAAAAACAAAACAAAACTTCTTTTGCCATTTTGGATCAAATGATCATCCATCTTTTTTGGGGCTGGGTGTTGAAATTTAGCAGCTGCCGCATATGACTAAGCTCTTACTACAATTCTCAAAGTTTCTAGGATTTTTAGCATCAAAACTACTAATGCAAATAACACTTTCAATTATGATTACCCACATTAATTGTTCTTGGAATGATGAATATGAGCTTCTCATTGATAGCATTATTCATTTATGTAAATTTAAACTGAGCTGTTATATTCCTTGACTACAATTTACATTAGATTTAGGATTTGGACTTTTTTTTCTTGGCACTGAGGTTTGAACTCAGGGTTTCACTCTACCACCTGAGTCATTCCGCCAGCCCCAAGAGGTAGTATTTGAAAGGGAAGGAAATAAAAGTAGTGTCAGTACTAATGACAATACACATCCTGATGGTGTCTGTTCTCTGATGAACATCTACTTACGGTTTATATTTTATTTTTATTGTTTTTTTGGCAGTGCTAAGCACCTTGAACATAACAGGTGAGTGCTTCACTACTGAACTTCACTCCCGCGCCACAATTTATCAGGAATGTCTTAGTCTCTGGTGAAATAAAAAGATTTTACTTTGGAAACTCTTTTCCAAAGTATTTTATTTATCAGAAAAAGAAAATTTAGTTCTCAATACTAAGGAGTTTTTGGAATCACAGTAAGAAAACATCTACAAAGTGCAACTCACCACTTACTTGACAGATTTTAAAATCAGCAACAAAATCTATTGCAGATTCCTATTTAGACACGAGTACTTACATTGTTATACTTTGAAAAATTTAAAATATGAGCTCCAATATAAATTCTCAGTTCTGAGGAACATTTGAAGACCACCTGCTTTTTCTCTCAGTATTTGAGCTCCTCGTGATCCCTTTCAAGGTATTGAAAGATTCTGGAACGGATGGTGTTTCTCTGGACTAATCATCTCATCAGACAGAAAACTCAACTCTGCAGCACTCTTTCCAGCAATGTCATCTCTAGAATGGTGACAGAAACAAATTGCCACAGAAACCTGAACATGAGATTCTTGATCAGACTTCATATTTTTTAGCTGTTCATAGATGAAGGACAGACCTTCCTTGTCAGTGAAAATCTCAACTACTACTGATTATGAGATGAAATGTAAATTCTTAGCTTTGGAATTTTAGGAGTTTTCTTTCCTTGCTTTAAAATGTTTCCCCAAGACCTGAGGAAGTGAGGGGTAAAGTCAGCATGGTGTTAGTGAAAGAGAGTATTAGGCGCCCAGCACAGTTCATATCAGACCCTTTTAGTTCAGCTTCTGCAATGTATTTGCTGAAACAGTCCATAAAAATCATGTAGTAATGAGCCTCTTTGTTGTTCTAAATAGTTTTTACTTTCCTAACAAAGACAGTATTTGTCTTCAAACTTGAGTCTAGGCAGTTAAAGAAACTTCCCTCTGGTTGGCTGTCTAGATCATTTTGGTTTTTGCTATGAGGTTCCTTTCTTAGTTGATGACACTCCTGAGCTTCCTGACGAAGCTGAACAGATTCTTCTTTCTTTCACCTGAGAAGTGGCTTTTAACTGATGTTTTTGTCTTCTCTATTGGTTTTTTTCTCTCTTCTTCTTTTTTGTTTCCTATTATTCTTCTTCCTTTTTTCTTTAATTCTACCTCTTTCTTTACTTTTTTTTTTGTACTCATTGCCTTCCTTTTTCCTCTTATTTTTTCCCAGTTTCTTCTTTTTTGTTTTGGGGACTTTATTGACCTCATCTTTTGGTTTCTCCTTGCTGCTCACGGGCTACCTTTCACTGCTGTCTTTTTTCCTTCTTGTTAAAGAGTAAAGATTCTTTTTCTTTCACACTAGGTGACTTTTCTACACTTAGCTATCATTACCAATCTTGAACCTGTTGTCAGCATTACATTAGCCACAGGGTTTCTCAGCACCAATGCCTCAGCCCCCTGCTCCCCCATCTTGAAGTACAGGTGGGCTGCCCTTCCTTTAGTTTGGAAATTTTTTTTTTTTTTTTTTTTGAGAATAGGAATCACAGCAAGGTCAATGTCAATGAAGTGAAATAATTTTTTTTTATCTGAGGAATGCAAGTTGTATTTTTAAAAAATTTTTATTTTTTTATTATTCATATGTGCATACAATGCTTGGGTCATTAGTTTGGAAATTCTTAAAAGAACTTTGCTACAAATGCAGTATTTCATAATAAATATAGTATTTGATAACTCTCAAAAAATTCTAGCCCAACTTTTTCTTTTTTTTTTTTTTTGTAATTCAATAAGGACTGTTTATTGTCTTCTCAGTCTCTCAAATAAAGTAAGGCCTCTTAAAGTTTTGGCACTTTGTTTTACTCACTCTCAGAGAGCTGTGAAATTATAATTTAGGGGGGAGCTGGTACTGGGGTTTGAACTCACGGCCTTATGCTTGCTAGGGTGGCCCTTTACCACTTGAGCCACTCTACCAGTTCTGAATTTACAATTTTTTTTTTCATTTTTCTTTTATTATTCATATGTGCATACAAGGCTTGGTTTATTTCTCCCCCCTGCCCCCACCCCCTCCCTTACCACCCACTCCACCCCCTCCCGCTCCCCTCCTCAATACCCAGCAGAAACTATTTTGTCCTTATCTCTAATTTTGAATTTACAATTTTTTAAAGACAACTTGCTTTTATATTTTTAAGGCTGTATTGTTGTAAAACCAACATAATATGCCCAGATATAAAACACTAAGCAAATGGGCAAGTATTTTCTTTGTTGGATTCCTTCACTAATAATTTGGTATGCAAATAATATTAAAAATGCAAGTCAATGCCCTATATAGCTATCCTTATCTCAACCAGCAAAAACCCTTGTTCCTTCCTATTATTGCTTCTACTCTCTCTACAACAAAATTAGAAATAAGGGCAAAATAGTTTCTGCTGGGTATTGAGTGGGGGGGAGAGGGAGGGGTGGAGTGGGTGGTAAGGGAGGGGGTGGGGGCAGGGGGGAGAAATGAACCAAACCTTGTATGCACATATGAATAATAAAAGAAAAATGAAAAAAAAAATGCAAGTCTTAACTGTTTCCTATTTTAAAAATGAAGTGCCTTCCCAGCTTCTGAGTTTAGAAGCCCCTTGGCATGAGAAATTTTTATTTATTTATTTAATTTATTTTTTTGTGGCGCTGGGGTTTGAACTCAGGACTTCATGCTTGCCTAGGCAAGTGCTCTACCACCTGAGCCACTCCTCCAGCCCTTTTTCTGTGGTGGGTATTCTTGTGATAGGGTCTGTGAACTATTTGCCTGGGTTTGGCCTTGAACCACAATCCTGATCTCTGTCTCCTAAGTAGCTAGGATCACAGGCATGAGCCACTGGTGCCCAGTTGCATGGGAAAATATTTGTAAATGCAAGGAAGTACAGCTAAAGTAGGTGATTTGTTTTAAACTGGGAAATGAATGGAAAGTTCATGAAATTTATAAAATTTTCTATTAAGAATGCACACCAAGGGAGGCTAAGACTGGGAGAATGTTGTTCCAGGCCATCTTGGGCAAAAAGTTTGTGAGACTCCCCTACCCCCCATCTCAACAGAAAACAAAGCTGGAAATGGTAGCATGAACCTGTCATTTCACCGACAGTGGGAAGTTTAAAATAGGAGGATGGAGGTCCAGGTGGGCCTGAGCAAAAGCGAGACCCTATCACCAAAATAACCAGAGAGAGGGAAAAAAAAACCACATTTAAATCCTAGCATTAAAAAATCTTAATTATTTCTTTGACTTGAAACCAGTACAACTAATTCTCATATCTTGAACTAAGACACAAAGTTAAAAGCAATACAATTTCAAGTTTAATCTCATCTGTCATAGTTCATTTTCCTGTTGCTATAACAAAATAGCCAAAACTAGGCAATTTACAAACCTAGCTCAGAGTTCTAGAGGCTGGGAAGTGCAAGAGCATCTATGTTATGAATCATAACATAGCAGGAAGGGGGAAGAATTATGTGGCATGAAAGATCAAGCATGCTAATTCCTGCTCTCTTCCTTTCAAAAGCAACTAATGACAACAGGGGACTTACACATATGATTCATCTAATCCTAATTACCTTCCAATGGTCACAGGTCCAAATACCATTAACATATGAATTTCAGGATAAGTTTCCAACACATGAAGAGGAGAAGGTGGCAGATAAGAGACACCCAGCACTTTCATGTGTCTCCAGGAGTCTGAAACAAAACATTGGTTGCATGGCTGCAGGGAGAGGTGAGTGGCATGGAAGGCACAGGAATGTAACAGTAAGCAGTAGACCAGCAACATGTAACTCCTGAAATTGTGAACTTAGGATGTGTGAAAGAAACAATGGACACTAACACCAGGTATCAGGTGAAACTGTGGGGAAGGGGGAGAATCCCTCTTAGAGGGGCTTTAAGAAATAGAGGAAAGGAAAGCTTTGATGCGCAACACAATACTCTGCAAAAGACAGGAAATCTGCAATCCACACACCAAGCAGATGCTGGAGAACCCCTCCCCCCTGCATACTTCCTGGCTTGCTCACTGGTGCCATCCATGGTAGGGGATTAGTTTAAGAGAAGTCTTACTACCAAACTTTTCAGCTGGGGAGAGCAAAAGCTCCTGCATTTTTATATCCAAGCCCCAGAGCCCTCCATCCCCCTGGCTAAGTGAATGACTAATTGGACAATCAGTGTGGGTCCAGGAAATCGGTTGTGAGTTGGGTAGAGATTCAAGGACAAGGTCTACATGGTGGGAAGTGTGGGCTGTGCTGCAGAGGAGAGCAGCGGACACTTACAGATGAGAATTGCATTCTGACCTCAGGCAAGAGGTGAGACCAGCTGTGTGTGAACAATAGTCGGGGGCAGGAATAGAGACTAGCGTAGCCAGGACATGTGGATCACTTGGTACCTGTACCTTGTCCCATCAGCACAGCAGGCTTTTTGTGACTGCTTTCTAGAGTCTCAGTGCTTCAGAGAGACACTTGCCTATTGCCCATGCCTGTACTGGCTGAGTGCCTCTGGCTGGGCAGTACTCAGGCTAAGTTGGTGGGAGCAGCTTACTTCTGATGTACTGCTGAATCTGCATAAGGAGAACACTGGCTGGAAATCAGCCTGGCAATGATCACAGTATTTGAGCACCCTGGCAAGAAATGTAGGGTAGGGCTCAGCCTGCAAACAGCCCTTTCTGGTCTAACCTGTTTGGTTTTCAGAGAAAAAAAAATGACTCAATATTCTCATGTCCCACAAATCAAGTAACCTGTAAAATGACAAGCCTAGGAAAAAAGTGAAGCATCTCCATCCTCTATCTCCTCAAAGAAGAAATATTAACTGGTCTTTTTCTCTGTAGGTTTTATTGTGTTTTCTTTCACTATTATTTCTTACACCTTTCATGCCACATACTTTCCCTCTTTCTGATCTTGTTTCTTTTCTCCTTCCCCCATCCCTTGTTTTTATTACACAATTATTAAGTAAAGGCATTTTTAATGACCTGGTTTATCCAATAAATATCCTACTTTCATTCTTTTCTATCTTTATTGGGGGGTGTAAAATGATGCTTCCAACTACTTTTTTTTAACTGCATATAAATAGCCAGTTTATATTTGAACTGTTGTTGTTACAGTGGTCTGCTCTCTCTCCTCCAAGAGAGTTCAAGAGAAAGCTATGATCAAAGATGACCTCCATGTAAAAGGTATTCATCCCAACTGATGAAACTGCAACACAGAAACATAAGAAATATGAAAAAGCAAGGCAATATGGCTCCTCCAAAAGTTCATAATTCCTTAATAATTGAACCCAACGATATTGAAGTGCTTCAAAGGTTGGATAAAATCCCAAAGTTCAGTTTAAAAATAATCAATAGTAATAAACATCTTTTGAATCCTTCATATAACATTTCCTCATTACAATAATTTCCATAGTTAATTATAAATTATATGTTTTTTTGGGTTTAAAATTTACAGGTCCTATCTATATATGTTTGAATGGTAAAACCTATGTATTTGAAAGGAAACAAAAGATACAATTCATAG